AGGTCCAGCAATGTTTGTGTTTTTCTGAGCTCAGAGCCCTGACATTTGGAGGGTTACAATTCTCACTACTAAAGAAGCCATGCATAAGCAGCAGTTCCAAGGATGCAGAGCACATAAACTTTCCTCCAATCTTCAGGGTATAGGTATCTCTGCTGTGAGATCTGGACTGTCTAGGGGACAGGACTTCCCTCATTAATTTTTCAGAAACAGGTAATAAGAGGCCCAAGAAGACGTAAAAAATATAGCAGAATACTTTAAGAAAAAATAATAAACCAAAATTTAAATGGTGAACCTGGATAAATACCAAGGCCTCTCACCAAACACAAGGACTGTACAAAATAGAAAAAGACATCTTGAAAACCTCGGCACAACAAAGCAAGTTTTATCTGAGGTGAAGACTGTAAGTCCTGCTTTATAGGGTAAAATTGTTTACAGTTTCTCATTCTGTTGACATTTTATTCTTTTCAAACCAGAGGGAAACCACTAGATTCTGTATCTGATATCTAATCACCACATTTCTTACAGGGAAACTAAGTCCCATCCAGAGGAAAACTGAAGAAGCCACATCAGCTGGTGTCCAACCAGGGAAACCACCACCACAATTTTATCAGTGGTTCAGACAGAGATCCCACTTCCCCTGGTAACATCTAAGTTAGTTGCTGGATTTTGGGTATAAGTGATATTTTTGATTCTACATCCCTGGGAACACTGAAGCTCCCTGTGAGCCGCCAAAGCTGCTCTCACAGCTTGCTGCACCTATAACCACCACACACCAGCAAACCCCTAAGCCTGCTGGCTTCAACTCAGGGGATCATAAGCTGCAAAGCACTTTAGAGGTTTTGACAAAAGAGATTATAATTTCTAAACCCTATAATCATTGCATTCTCAGGGTCAAACAGCTCCCAGTGCCAAGACTTACACACCGCATTGCCACCCAGATGGGCAGATGCAAAGTGCATCCTCATGATCCATCACATCACCCTCCCTACATCATCACTGCAACAGTTATAAAGTTCATGAGCATTATGTCAGCGAATAATGGCTTCATGCCACTTTCTCTTAGATTGCATGTCTGCTGCAGGAATGGGTCTTTGATTTTCAAGCTCTCTTACATTCCAGCACAGCAACCTGCTGGGGATTTAAGGGCATTTCATGGGTGTTTAATGAGGCTTACACCATAACCAATCTAAACAGCTCTTGATCATGGAATTCTGAAACACATTCAGTAAAGCTGATGGAGCCTGAGACACCTCGAGAGAAATACTGAGTAAATCAGAACAGTCAGCTTGCCCTGGCCCTCTGTTCCAGCTTTGCTGGTGAATACAGATGCACGTATATACAGAATAAACACTCCCTGGTTGATTTCTGGTTCCCTCAGATTTACAATGTATTCAGGATGGGCAGTAGAGATTCACTGATACATCTCTGTAAGTGTTCAAACATATAGATCAACTTTATTTTCTGTCAACTTTTTATCTAAAACTCTTATTTTAATGAAGAAGTAGAATGTTGAAAGCAACGATTTAATATGGTATTTTAAGATTACTATTTACTGACATTCTGAAGGGCAAAAGTCTCACTCCTGAAAGGTATTTAAATTCCTAAATATCTTTGAGCACCTAGATGCCCCCAAAAGGGTTTATATTTGCAAAGGAAGCTATTAAGGTAATGTAATGTAATACACAGTATTTGACAGAGAGACAAGTTAGAGTTACACATACATGCACTCCTAAATCTGATGTATTCCATATCTGGCACCTAAACACACATAACATCCTTAAACATTTTGAACAACGTTTTCCTAAAGATAATAATTAGAATGAAATGCTTATCTAGTTTCTTCAGAAAACTTTCTGCTTTAAAATCAGATACCCACAAGCTCCTGAAAATGGAAATGAGGCAGAAAGGAAAGCAACTTATGTGTGATGCTCTCATTTACAACAAAAAGTAGCAGTGGCTTTTTTTCTTTCAAAGATCCATGCTGTTACAGGTGCTTACTCAGATATATCCTGTTTTTAAAATAAGCCTTCATTAATTTAAGAATAATTTAATTTTCACAAATATTTGTGTGTGCCTCTGCAGCATGTGCCTCTGCAAACTTCTACAATCAAAACTGTAATATTCTGGAGCCTAATTTTCCCTTCATAGCAGGAGTAGTCCTGCTGATTAGGAGATCTTTTTCAAGCTCAAATCTACACATGTGATTGATCTACAAAGTCTTTTTTGTATAAAAAGCCATTTTTTGAACTGTAAACGCTTGAAGAATTCTGCTGCTGCTTGCTGTGCCCTTCTTATACTAACCTTTGCTGTTGCTGAAGTTGGGCTCATGCTAACAAAGGGCAACTATCCCTGGAAAGGGGCAGGAGGCAACAGACTCACTGAGAAAGCACCATTTTTTACTTCTGCTTCTTCCTAAACATTACCAGCCACAGTCAGGCTCCCAGGGCAGGAAATCCCCCAACAGGACCTACTACGGTTGCTCTTCAGAGCAAGTACAATCACTCCAGAAAGTCTCTTGCTTATCCAGGTTTTATTTATGCAGACCAACCCAGGAAAGAAATCAGCTTTGCTATCCCATATTCTTTTATTTTCTTTCTGACTTCTCCATTTACATGCTTTGCACATTTGTTTCACTATAGAAAATAACTGCTGTAACATTTAGGGCTGTCTGGCCATTGCCAATGGAATTGGCTTGGAGAGCTCTGAATTTCCTGCTCCATGTGGGACTTGTGCAGGCTGCTGGTCAGGAAGCAAAATCATTTGGAAATTTGCCTGGTAGTGTGCCTTGTGTCAGCAAATACTGAATGCAGTGCTAACATACCTGTAGCTTTGCTCCCACTGCTAGACAGGGTAATAAATACTTCAAATTGGAGTGACTTCCAGCCTTTTTGAGTGTAGGTAGTCAGCAATAATACAACACTCTCACTTAAAAGATAAAATTAAGCTGTCAGAAATATTATCTCTGTGCCAAAAGTTTACACGGAAGCTTACTGACAGCAATACTCATTGCTGCTTGTCTCACTCACCCTGTTGCCAGTGGGGTTCTGTCTTTATTTTTAGACTTTGAGTTAAACAGCTGTCAGTTTTAACTTATTTGTAGAAACTGGTGTGTAGAAATTAGTTCCTAGCCCTGTGGTGGTTATCTTGAGATTAATGGGAAATCCAGAGCTAGCAGTCAGAGGGGCAAGCACTCTGAATGGGAGAGAAATGCAATCCACCAAAATCAGAAAGTAGCCTCAATTTTTGGATCTTGTGATCCATACTTGAGAAGACAATAAATAGCCTTTCTGTGCCATAAAGAACCCCAGAACTGCAAAGAGGTTCTTGTTCTTGACAGAAGAGAAATTTGATGGAACACACTGGATACTTTAAAACCTAAATTTTGACATTTCCTGAAATACTGCCACAATAAAGGTATTTTCTTTTACAGTGGAATCTAATGTTACATATTTCACCATCAAATATTAAGTAACAGTAAAGTGTTTGGGGATGCAAAAAAACCCTGTCCCCAGTGCCAAAGCTTTTCCTGCTAAACACTCCTTAGAGTTATACAGAAAAAGAGGGAATACACAGTTTTCCCTTCTGGTAAAAAAAACCTGTATTGTCAAAAAAAACAGGAATAAATTTCAGGTACATGATGTCTGAGGGGTTACATAGACCTTGCTCAGACACCATCAGAAGATGACATTCCCCAGTGGGGAAGACTCTGACAGTTGAGTTCAGTGGAGTTTGGGCACTTCAGGGTCCTGTTGTTGGTTGAGAAGTCAGAGAATCACTCTGCCATACACGTGACGTACCCAGGCCTGACCTATTCCTTTGCATGTCTTGTGTCCAGCACTGTTTGTTTATTTACCCTGGGCTGTTCTGCTGCAATAAACATTCCCCTCTGGATTCCAAACAACAAGATAAGCACGCCAGCATTGCCTCAAACTCACATTTCCCTGGAAAGGCTTTCTGAGAGGAAAGGACTGGTGTGCCTGCTCCCCATTTTAACCAGCACTCAGAAGAGGGGCTGGCTCTGCCTGACACCACCTGCAGTTGCTCTAGCTTGCCTGACTGGTGGCTTTATTTGTATTTTGGTTCCCCAAAGCAAGGCATGCTGTAGAAATCTGGATTTTCAAGTGATCAGAACTATCTGATCACTTAATGATTATTCTTTGCATTAGGACAGAAATGTAGACACTACACTGCATTGCACAAAACCACACTCTCCCAGACAAAGCAAAATAACTGCTCCAGACAGAATGAATGCTCTCCTCTTTACCTGCAAGAAGTGTCAGGCTTTTGAGGGCAAGATCAGAACAGTGCTAGGTCAGGGAAACAAAAAGATGACTGCATCCTCCTTAGTCTGTGCAGGAACAACCATTAAGGACTTCAGCTGAGACTGAACTTACTCTCTTTGCTTTTCAGTCCTGGGCCTGACTACCAATTTCTTTTTTTGTCTGTAGCAGGCAGCGGCCCCAGAAGAGAAGAACCAGCTTTAAACATGAGTCATTTGGCCCTGGCCTCCTAGAGCCCATGAGCTAGGAAACAGCATGATCTAAATGGTCTCAGAATGCCTCCTCACACTTGGGAACATGTTCCCATGGTTTTTCAGGCACATAGAGAGAAGCACCAGCTGGGAAGGCCATTCTGCCCAGTAGGAGCCAGGTTTTACTTTAGCAATACCCTTATTTACTTCAGCAACAGAAAGATAGTGAGACTTAAATACAAATGAATATATACCAAAGAGAAGTCCTAAAAATAACACCAAGAAAATAAAGCAAGCATGCAGCTGGGAAGCTGCAAACCTCCATTTTCCTCCTCTCACACGTGTATAGGTAACATATTTTTAAGTCCTTTTTAGAATATTCACCTACAGCGAGACAAAATTTTGGAGGATGGCAGACATATTTATGCATTCATATACTGCAAGGCAGAAACAATGTGAAAAATAGCAAGAAAAATAAATTACTATGCAGCATAGAAATAGAGACTTCAGCCATTGTCCCAATCCTTACCTTTTAGTGTTGCCTTCTTAAGTACCTTCATGGCATAAAGCTGGCCTGCATCAGATCCTTTTATCTTCCTGACTAGAAATACCTGTAAAAAGAAAATGTTTTGTATAGATGAGTACTGAATTTCTGCTTATAAGACTTACTGCATTCGACAGGAGAATAGATACTATGGTTCAGGAAATCTAATGAAAATTACTAGCTGAAAGCATTTCATATCTATTTCACCTGCAATTGTTTGAGCTAGCTTTGGAAATTTTCAGGTTTTAAGCCTTTACCACCTCACAAAAAAACCATTTTCAATATTATTAATTGACCTCATATATTCAGTTAAAGATGGGTGAAAAGTTAGAATCAGTGAGTACGTATCTCTTCATATTCTGATCAGCTTTACATGAAAAAAAAAAGTCTCATTTGTGTCTTGGAATGTGCAGTGTCTTAAAATTATTGCCATCAATTAAATTTAAGAAAAAAATCAATTTGGTGCCATTCATGATGTAAGTGATGAATAACAACTTGCCTAAGATGCAGCTGAAGAAGAAAGTTCACACAGCTGAAAATCTTTGTTATTACAAAAAAAGACAGTTTTTTCTGTTTCAGTCTCCTATGCTCTGTCTTCTGACAGTGTAAAATTTTAATTAAAATAAAGTAAAATTTGCAGTTAAACTTGTACTCTTTTTATTGTGGTACATACAAATATTTCTTATCTGCCCCTCAGTGCATCTGAGCACTGGAGGGGTAGTGAACAACAGGATCAATGGTTCAGTTTGGTCTTTATAAGACTTTTTAATGACTGGAAAATAAAATAATTGGAAATAAAATAAACAACTCTTTTAGCTGCTTCTCAGGACACACTCTGTCTGCTGAGGTCAGAAGTGTGACCTTAGAAATTCTCAGATCTTCAGAAGCCAGGCAACAGTGTCTCTTATTCTTTTAATTTCAGCACTTGTGTTACTGGACAGAAGCTGAAGTAAAGCCAAATGTAGAAATAAAAATATAGTGCCACATACATACAGTCCCGTATGCTCAAGTATATACAAATTAACAAAGGCCAGGTGAACTAAAAAATGTCTTTTTGGATAAAAAATTTCAATTATTTTATTAATTGTCTATCCAGGAACCATAAAGCCTTGTTAACTGTCTCTATCTAAAATATAAAAAGCCAAAAAATAAGGAAGGGGTATGTTTCTAGCAGAAGTTTTGCACGTTGAAAGACTCTTCCTCCTAAAAAACTTCAATCTGTAAACAGATTAGATTTTCTCAAACCCATTTGAAGACAGGTTTCTGGGAAGGGAGAACAACTGTTATCAACCAGGTACAGAAGCTGGGAAGGAGGAAAAAAAAAAGAAAAAAAAAGGAAAAAAAAGAAAAAAAAAAGAAAAAAAAGAAAAAAAAAAGAAAAAAAAAAAAGAAAGAAGGTAAATTCTCCATTCTCTCTGAACAACTTCATCAGGACTCTCACATCTGACAGCACCAGAGCTGCAAACTTGTACCACATGATCTGACAGGGTTTTGGTGAGCCTCTCCTTGTCAAGGTGTTTCCTGTGCACAGCAGATACGCACAGCTCCTCAGCCCAGCTGCCCTGACCAGCCCAGCCTGGGCACACACTGCTCCCTCCCAGATCCTCCTTCCTACTCTGATGAACACACAAACACCTCCAGTGCGCACAACTGTAGGAAAAAATGATGAAATCTGGATGCAACAGGCCCATGTAAGACTTTCTGAAGGGGTTTTTGGTGTTATTAATGATAAATTAAGCTCAGCTGCTCCAGCATTAACAGGAAGTCAATTCATTTAGAAGTTTACAGAGGAAAGTTGGGATGTTTTTCTGTCCAGGTCAAGTAAAAGATTTCATTTTTGTGTTGCATTGAAAAGGCGGAGAAAGTTAAAAGCAAGCTTTTCCAGACACTAGATTTTCAGCTGTATTATTATTTTTGAAAAAACATTTATGGGCTCTTTACCCCAAAAAAGCAAAACCCCAAACCCTTAAGACAATGGTTTTCATCAGCACTGCACATAAAACAGCACAGCATACTGCATCTGCAGAAATATTAGGCTGCAGTTCTAGAAATACCTTGTCTGCTCTATAATCTTGCAAAGCTTCTAATACCCACATTGCTGTAATAAGCAAAATTATCAATTTCCATTACAAGTCACTAGTCAGCTGTTCACTGTAGCATGGGACAGGGCACTTGTCTGCATTCCCTCCAAAAGAGATGAGTCAAGAACACTGTGTTCTGTTCTGTTTCAGAGGGCATCAAAATAACCAAACCAGAAAGGAACAGAACAAATGAAAATATTTGGTATTGCAAAATGATGTCACCTTTCTGATTATTCCTAAATGTAATGCTACAGATTGTTCTTGAAACCACCAAGTAACCCTGAACTGCTAAATTGATAGATGATATTAGCTGGACTATACTAGTTTGCCAGAATAGCATGTGGCTGAGCACGACTTTCAATTTTCTAGCTGGATATGTTTGTAAGGTTAACTTGAACTAGCAAAACTCCTTTAGCTGGTGTAATTGGTGCATCACCCAAAACCTAATATAAAAAGCTAAGCAAGTGCTCTGCATCTCCAGAGTGTTGGAGGCACTCCCTCTGACACCAAAGACATCTTCTCTAATTATTTAGTTCTTGAGTGAATAATTTGAAAATGTAATGGTTTGCATCCTCAGAGACGCAGATTTGAACCACTAGCTCAAATACCAAGGTGATGAAAATGTAGGTGGTTGGGGACTGCATAAGAAACACAGAGTAAACCTCTCTTCCCCACGTCTTTGCTGCTCCAGGGAGTTTATCAATGTTTCTCACATAAGATATGGAAAGTGATTTGTAATTACATGCAGCTCCAGACAGGTACATTGTCCACACTCCCACTCTGATGCCAAAGAAATCAGATTTCCTTTTGGAAAGTGATTGCACAGACCAGGCATTTTGCTTATAAAACACTTAAGGCTAGAAGGCCAACTCAAACAATACTGAAAATACATCAATACAATCTAAGATAACCAGCAAACCATTTCTAAAATCTTTACTGCCTATGTATGAAAACCAACTATTCTGATTCTGTTACTTTTATCAAAGATGTTTCTTTCTGTTGTTCTTCACCTTCTTACACTGAGTCCCATAGTAAACCTAATTTTGATCTGTTTGCTTTTTCATATTCAGTTAATATTTAAAACTTAAATATACTGTGCTCTGAAGAAATTATTGAGTTCAAGACTTGGTATTGAATGTTAACTTTCTTGATATCTCTCATCTCAGGGAACTTCTAATAGGTTTAATTATCAATTTAATTCTAGAATAACCAGGAAGTTGATAAACACTCTTAATATAGCTTCCTTTAGGAATAAAAATAAAGGTTCTGATTAGAAAATATGTCCTTAAAACTCTACAGAATAGTATACTTATAAGGACTTTGATGCCTAGTTTCAGCTAGGTTCACTGTTCCAAAGGTTTCAATGTCTTATTTAAAGACATTAGAAAGACTTTAAGGCTGAATTGACTCTTCCTTCTTTCTCCCCATCTTTCCTTCCTGTTCTCATTTCCAACCAACATGCCCTGCTGAAGAACTGTCTTTGGAATTAAGAAAATCCTTAGTCTTAAGATATGTGGCAAATATTACTCCTCCACAAATTAGCTTGTGGTCATACAGGCAGGATTTTCCCCCCACGCTCTTGCAATAATGATTACTGTATTCTGCACTGGGCTTTATCTCCAGGACCTTTCAAGACCTCTGACTGTGAACTAAACTGAAGTTGGGGACTCAGAAATGTCCTTGAGGTTGCCCTCAGTGGGAACTGTGCAGCTAACTTATTTAAGTCTTTGAATGCTCCTATTTACACCCTCCAACTAAGCAGCAGTGGCACACTCACCTCCCTGGTGGATAGATAATCCATAAATATCATTTATCACTGTTTGCAAACAGTGATGCTTGACTAACAATCACTTGTGCTCATTGGTCCAGGTCCAGAGCCATAGCTGCTATTTCCTAAACTAGTTCATATGCACAAAACCAGCTAAAAGACTGAAGCATTACTAAAATGAAGAGGGAAGGGCTTTCCTTATCTGCCTTTACAATATAATTTATATATGGACAATGTCAGCAGTGTAAAAGAACTCAGAGAAAAGAACACAATATTTTCAGTGTTGCTCTGGGTGATTAGAGGACAATAAAAATTACCTTTCCGTATGAGCCTTGTCCTAATACTTTCAACAGTTCAAACTGAGAAGGATCTGCTTTTTCAAAACCTTCCTTGACATGATGACTGATGTCTATTTCCTTCACAATACCTTCTTCCTGCAAAGGAAAAATAAACAAAAAAACAAAACCCCCAAATCAGAGCAATTATCTTAAGGAAACATATTGTTTATTAAAACCTTGTCTCTGTAATGCTGCAATCATGTAGCAAATTTTGAAAATAGAAACAAATGCTTGTCTAAATATTCCACGTGCCTGTTACCAGCTGGGGAGGGTAATTGTCAGGACATCCAGACCTGGTACTTCTGTTTATTAAGCCTCAAGATATGACTAGATAAAGACAGATTACACAAGCTGAAGCCAAAAATACGCTGCAAATCTTGGTGTGCCCATCAGAGACCTTGATAGCAGAGTGACATGTACTCAAATCTGCACTAGAGAGGCTCCATCACACTTCTCTCTACATACTTTCTCAGCTTCCCCTCAAATCATCATTTAAGTCAATCTTAAAAAGCTTCCTTAGTCTTAAGCAGTAATTCTTCTAATGACTAGGCAACAAGGAAATACATTGCTGAAAGATCCTCTTCCTATTTACCTCAAAATTGGAAAGTTACTACTGGTAACCATTTAAGCAGAAAACAAATTAATGATTAGATATAAAATGAGGTGGTGGTGGGAGAAGACTGACACACACTTTGCTGCTTGCAAGAATTCGTTTTTTATGCTTTGGGTTTGTCCAGGTTATTTTGTGAAAATCTTTTCCCTGTCAATAGATGCACATTCCTCAAAGACATGAGTAGAACTAGGACTTTCATCTTGCAAGCTGTGACATATGGCATTCGTTTCAGTTTTTGTTCCATGTTATTTTGGCATGTTCCTCTAAAAAGAGAGCAACTGGGTCACGTGAGACCCAGAGGGACTGCACAGAGTTTGCAGCAACCCAGAAAGTCACTGAGCTGAAAAGAACCTGGAAGAAAGAACCCGCTCCCTCAAGGACACAAAGAGAAGGAAAGATAATACTTACACACCTTATTATTTCCTTAGTGTTTTGTACACCTACATTTGAGCTTTTTGGTTTGTTTGGGGTTTTTTTTTCCCCCAAACTACTTGTTCTAACTTCTCCACAACAAAAATATGGATTTTCAGTACAAACCTTTTTTTTAATCATCTGTCCAGTTTGAAGGGACTTGCTCATTCAGGAATAAGTTTGATTATTTCTCCATCCAGCAAAAATAACTGGAATCTTACAAACATTTTTATGTGGACTTTTTCTGCAATCTTCCTTTCTTCCCCTAAAAAATCCTTAAAAGACCTAGAAATATAACATTTATTTCCCACTCTTAAAAATTAATGTTGAGAAAATAGAAATAACATCTTGAAAATAAAAATGCATAAAACCCCCAAAACATCTGGCCAAAACACATTCTGTACTAAATAAGAATAATTTTGATTTTCTTCTCCTCCAGAAAAATTGCTATCACTTTCTTCTACCTGTAATTTGTCAGATACATGGTTTGCATTACCCAGATTGCTTTCTATACTGTAGTTTCAACCCTCCTCTTCCTACCCTGCCTCTTAACACTCACATACTTTGGAACAGTGGACTAAATCCTCTTCTTGGTTTGGAAAGCTTCCTGTAGTTCATGCATGCTACCACAATCATGGAAAATAATCATCATCTCAGAGCAACTCCTTTTTCTGATCCTAATTGCTATAGTTAAAGGTTTGCCTGAAAGGAAATGCGTGAAACCACGGAACAGTTTTCACAGACAGATTTAAAGGATTTCCAAGTACAGAACTGCCAAGATCTCTCTGTGCATTTTTCTTACTTTAATTGCTGTGTGAGATAGCATAAGTTTCTGATATTAAATATATAATATTTTTCAATTATTTTGTACTCTGGTGTGAACCATGAAGTCACTTTCAGCTACATTTGCAATTTAAATGATGAGTGAGTTTCAATTCACCCATTCATACTACTCATCAAAGTCAAAGACTTACAACCCCAAGCATATTTCTCATTCTATTACTAAATTTAATATAACCTCTTTAGGTTCATGAAACATGTTCAGTTACAGGAATATATTGAAAGTATTACAATGATGAAAAATCAGCTTGCTGGGAGAATGCTTAAAAATTTCTTGCACTCCTGTAGAATAGCAAAAATAATTTATAACATGCAATAAAAACAGTACTTTAATTATATGCATCTTTAATTAAAATCTCAGGGGGAAAAAAAAGAGTATTTACAAAAAATGGAACCAAATACAAGGCCTAACAATGTTTATCAGAGAAGCACAGATTTTAAAGACAGAAGAAAAATGCTAGATTTTGTGATGATTTTTTTGTGATTATCAAAATATATAAACATTGGTTAGAAGAGGCTTCTAGGGGTCATCTAGTTCAACAGTCCTGCCCAAAATATCACTGACACTTGATCAGACCAACCAGCTGGTTTTTGCTCATTGTGGTTTTCAGTGCCTCAAACACTGAAGCTTGAGCCACTTCCTACAAAAGAATATTTTCTTTCAATTTGCTCACAGTCCAGTTGAACTGGCTGTTCCATGTGGCCTTAGGAGGAAGCAGGATATTTTTCTAGGAAGGTAGGATTTCCTGTGGATTTCCTGTGGTTGCCTTACTAGAAAGGGGCAGCAAGGCAGCACTGAAGAAAAAGCATGCCAGACAGCTGTTTTTTCACCCATCATCACCACAGTGGTGTCACTTGTGAGCTGTCCAAGAGGTAGATAATATTTTAGCTGGTATGGCAAATCCACTTCCCCCTGGAGCAGAAAGCCAAACTGGCAGCGCTTTCAACTAAAGACAGACATAGATCTTTAAAGGAAATACATGCTGGTGTGTTTGCACACATGCACCCATTTGCCTCGAATGTATTTCTATAATCTTATTAATTAGCGGCTGCATAAATCACAGAATAACTTCTATTTGTTTGTTTTACCTTTCCAGTGAAAAAACCCAGCACAGACCAAACAGTCTTATAGTCTTTATTTACATTCTTACTTACACGGGATTTTCTCATTTGAAGTCTTCCTGTATTATGCTAATATGGAATCTGGCATAATTTTTCTCAGGTATTGATGATCAGAGTGAAACCCAAAGCGTCAAAGCAAAATTATATTTGGGCATGTCTCCCAACTATTTTGGTCTGGGTTGCATGCTAGAAACTTCTCTAATACAGTTTCATTTTTCACTATTCCAGCAAGTGCACCATATCTGCATCAGAATTTAGCATAACAATTAAACTGAGACAAGGCAATCACAATACAGACAAAGCCTGCACACTGAAGAAGCTGTTTTGATGGAAAAGATTTCACTCTGGAAAAAAACAACCAGCCAACTTCAAAACTGGTTTTGATCAGTGAAGTCGGGGGAATCAAAAGGGAATGTTCCACAGTCTGATCTTGCAACAGCTGTGCACACCAGCCCAGGCTCCTGCTCCCTGCTGACTTGTCCCACACTGCATTAGCAGGAATGCTTGACTTGATGAAGCTCAATCTTTTGTAAACTTCTCTAAATATTTATATTCACACAAAAAACATCATCCTATGACAAAAGTGAGATGGGTGTCCTTGGTGGCTTGAAGAAAGCACATAGTCAGGCAGAATAGACTAGAGAAGGGAAGGCAATAAATTGGAAGGATAAAAGAGAAATGGAGAGTGCTTTTCCATGTTAATACAAGAAAGACCTAATTCTGTGCCTGGTTCTATACTACATTACTCACTTAAAGGCTTCCCCTAAAGCTGGCAGAAGGTTTGGACATATCTCACTATTAAAATGGAAAGCCACTTTTGATCTCTTCTTCTCTAGGACATAGGAGAAGAGAGCCTCTCTTGTTGCCCAGTGACTGTGGATAACACAGACACATCTGCTTTTGGTGCTTCTGGAAGGCAAAAGGTCCCTGTAGTGTTGGTCTCAGCTCCAAGACTTCTTCATGCAACCATGAAGAAAGAGAGGCACTAATGCTCAGTGGCTGCTTGAGAGCAACCACAGAAAACTCTTCTAACTGCAACAACACTTCCCAACCCATTGTCTCATGTCAGAGTAGGATCAAGAACGGTAGGGGTATGGATTGATTTGGCAGTGGAGTACAAAAAGTCACTCAAAATGGCAGGCCTTCCTGGAGAGCAACTCTTCAATTTACTATCTTGTCTGTTCCACAGCCTCTCAGCAAACATTATGGAAAAAATAACCCCTAGAAAATGCACAGGTTTAACAGCTTTTGGGGTCTTGTTTGGCTACTCCACAACTAGTTTCTAAACAAGAAGAGTTAAGGTCACCAAACAAAGAGATCACCTTAACTGCCAGATATATTTCACCCACACACAAAACACTTTCCTCACCAAAACTTCCTGAAATATCAGGAGGGGGAGATTATGCAAGAATCAGCTACTTTTACCAGAAGAAAAATGTGTGCTACCATATCATATACAAAAAAGCCATGGTGCTTTTTTGTATATGATATGTAATTTTATATTATTATTGTTTTGAAAATTAGGAAGAAAGGATTCCCAGTTTTATTCCTTGCCTGGTGATCTCCTCAGTTGCAGAGGACCAAGACTGGTGTATAGGTATGGTGTAAAGGGTAAGCTTCATTTTCCAACAAAAATATGTGCACTTTTGATGTGCAAGTTTTACAGTCTTAAGCCTTGTGTGCTTTAGGATCTGAGCTCAATGAAGAAATCCACAAAAATGTGGCAGGAGGACATAAGAAATAATGGTAACTCAGAAGACATTTTACTGTTCAAGATAATAATTATTTGTCTATAGCACATGCTCAGGATACAGACTTAATTTTGTTACCAATCTTCCAATTTGGCAGGTTACCTCCTACCATAAACCCAAATCACAATTATTTAACTACAAAGTATCAGGGGCAACACAACATTTCAAAACAATACGATTCATTAAGAAAGCATGTTTTAAAACTGTGATATGGGAATAGTTAGGACAGGATGTGTCTGATAAAGATGAGGCCAGGTTTCTACCTCTGTTTCACAGTTTCTAATCTAGCTCAGCCCATAGGAGAGCAATTTGTGTACCAGACATAATAGGCTATTCAAATGCTGCCTAGGGCAGGAAAT